GATGTTCAGGCGGAGCCATGTAAAAGATGATTTTAATCAGATTGGTCGAGAGCGTGCATCATATAAAGCATCGAACTATGTTGATATGGCATTTACAGTTTACATGAATGCCATGTGAATTTGGTAGGGTAATATAGTGGCAACACCATACAGTAGTGTATATATTAGTATAACTTGATGCGTAACATGGAAACTGAAACAACAAAGGGAGACAATTTAAGCATCTGTGTTCGTGTCTGACTGACGATATACGGCACCAAATTGCCTTGCCGATAAAATACCAGCGATTGCCATAACGACTACGTCACCGACACTTTATAGAAAAAGATTTATACATATATAATTGTTCCACAGTCATGTCGATTTGAATGGTGTATCTTATATGTTTACCGGTGCAGTGTTCGAGTCAGCTGTACTTTCTCGGCTAAGTGATTTGGTGTCATAGATCGTGAGGTTGAATTACGGACAGGGCACAAGCGGAAAAGTCTTCCTTTGTAATTTATGTTTCTGTGATTGTGGTGTAACATTTATATATATCTATGTTTCAGAGCCATGTCGAAAGTTTATACCGTTCTCGGAGTGGACACCGCCGTTGGAGCAGCAGTAGCTTTCTATCTTTCCAAGAAGGCAAAGGTGAAGGGTGTTCCCCTTGGCAACCCGAGAGGAAAAGGAGAGGTGGACCCGCCCCCGGGCGTGGAAATAATTCGCTGCGACCCCCAAAACGTCCGGAGTGTGGAACATGCATTGAACGGATCTGATGGATGTTTTATATTCACAATGTCGGACTTTAGAAACGACCCCAGCTTCATGGTGAATGAGTTAACGTACGGACGGACAATTGCGGAAGCGTGTAAACGGTCGCGTGTGCCTCACGCGATTTTCTGCACTGAGCCACACACCACCGATATCCAGGGGATCGGCGCACGCCACATGGTCGCTAAGGCTGAGATTGAGCAGTGTATTTGTGTACACGACGTCCCTCTCACCCTCCTGATGCTGCCCCGGAGATACGAGGATATCATTGACTATTTGGCACCTGAAAAAGTCGGACAGGACTTCTTGTTCGGTACGTCAATTACACGCAACAATTAAGACACCTGTTCATGTTAGGGGGTGACAAGTATCGTTTGAGGCGACCCATGTGGTCTCTTTCTTCTTGTGATGTTCTTTGATGACCTCGGCCTCTAAAAGTTTTCCGCTCTTCCGATACGGATGATACAATTATCGTAACGGTCAACCAATCCAATACGTTATCGAGAACCTTAGATTTTCTCATAGTGTATTCCAAGTGTTGCAGAGAAATATATGTATATTGAATTGTGTCCTATTGTTTATGAACATTGAAGAAACTTAAAATGATCCGTTGCACCAAATGCAACCGCTATAGGCTTTGTGTTGTCATTTCTACGTTTGCACACCTGTATACCGTTTAGTGATAATTGCATCCCCAGGGACATGTCACATATAAACCGCCGTCACGCTATATATAAAGTAGTACTGTGGTGTCTATCCATATGTATCCTAAGATATCTATAGCATGTTACATGTCCCTGTAATTGCATTCATAGATAGTCAAATATTTACTTATAATGTCAATGCAAGTTTGAATCAATAAAATATCTTGAACAGTCCAATATTAAAACGTCGCGTCCGCAGAAACATACTGCACGTAAGTCATAATTTAAAACTCTAAAACATTGTTCTTGGATAAAGCTTAATTAGTAAAGTACTGGTCTGATTCAACATTTCAGAACTGCCAATGGACACAGAGACCCCTCTGAGTATGATCGGCGCTGAGGACTTGGGGCCAGTGGTGGAGCACATCTTCAATAACAGGGACCATTTCACTGATGTACGGGCCAACCCCGGTCCTATCAGTCTGTGTGGTAGTAAGGTGGCCCGCCAAACCTTCGCTCAGTGCCTGTCCTACAACTTACGACCTCTCCAGTTCTTTGACAAACCAGTAAGTTCAATCTTCAATTAACTTTTGGCATCCCCGTACCACTGCCTTAACTGTCAATAGGCATTAGAAGCATTGTTCTTGCATGACTTCAGCTTTGATAAATAATATCTGAAAATAAACTGGATTCGAACCCTGGACCTCAGATCATTATACTGTCACCCTAACAACTGAGCTACCTGGTAAGAACAGTCCTGGTCAGGAATAAGTGTTTTTTGTCAGTTCGAATTCCAACTTTACTTCCTGAATTGATTCTTGAATTGCTATTTTTTCTGACTTCTCAAGCTTCAACAGGTCATTTACCGTCATTACATGCAAAGTTTTTGTGTTCTTTCAAGACAACTAAAACCAAACTTGGTCACAATGTGACTCTCCTCGTGTGGTCTAAAACTGTTGTTGTCAGTGACGGGGTTTACAAAATCCCGGCTTCCAATTATATGTATCAAGATACAAGATTTATTGACCAAATCAAGGGTCCATTACCTGCCCTGATGAGCAACGAAACAGATGCCATCATCGGTAATCCACGGTTGCCTTACCAATAATCAATAATAACCAATGGAAATCTCTGTCCTACATTCCGATGGTGATACAGGTATGTTCGGGGAAAGCACACTGCAGAATCGGAGACTTTCGTCGGTGTCTATTACTGATAGGACAATGAAGAGGCTGTGATTGATCTGCTGCCCCATTGTAACACAGGGATCTGTCCTTTCTTTTCTCTCTTACCTATACTACTCTACCTTTCGGCGGTGTCTGTATAGGTCCTTAGCTGGTGTTATGTTCCGGCCTGGGGACAAACTCATTGCCTTCCTGATGAATTTATTTTGCTGTTCTCGTGTAGATGATATACAACAACTGACTTTTAGAAAGGCATAATTAAATTTTGATTAATCTACAAATGCATTATTTTTAATTTTAGCTGACCCACACAATGTACCGTGACGCTAATTCCAAACGGCCTTGGCGGGAGGACTACGCAAATATGTTTTTGTTCCTGATGCGCACACGTTGGGACCATAAGTACAGCACCGAACGCACGCGCAAATTCAACCCCGACACAAAATACTTTGAGGAATGGGTACAAGCAAATGCCCAGGCCCTTTACACTGCCTACACAGAGGTAAAACC